GGTGCGGGCGGGCGGCTGCGCTGCAGCCCCCACCCCAGGGCAGCCGCTGGGCTCTGACCCCCGGCAGTTCCCAAAATATTAGTGTAAAAATAACCCTCCCCGGCTCCGAGAGCTCTCTCTGCGTTGAAGAACCACGGGGCCCCGGAGGGACTCTACAGTGGTGATGGGTGGAGGGGTCTGTTGCTATGACAACAGATTTTTTTTTTTCTTTCTATAGAATTGGATTTTTTCTTGTGTTTATTTCAGTTTTCTTAAACTGAAACAATTAGGATAGAGAAAGAATATACACTTTCCTCTATTTTTTCCAAGAGAAAGCCCAGGCAGGATGCAAAGGCGGGCAGCATGGCTGCAGTCAGCTGGTGACTCCTTGAGCTCGTATCCCCAACCCCAATTATTTGTTTATCTTTCCTCGGTAGAACTGCACGCTTTGTGAAACAAAACCAGCCATACAAACTAACCCAAATTATTCACCTAGCTTTCTCGCACTATATTTTCAAGTCTGACTAAAAGGGACGCAGACCTGAGCTCATACTGAGGGCTGAGGTTTACTACTTGCAGACCTTGTCTGCTTTTCAGCTGGTGGGATTATCTAGATATTTTATTTTTTAAATGGAAATGTCAAAAAGCTGAGTCAGCCATACCACAGCTATTAAGATCCTAAAACTTCTTCCTCCTTAAGGATTGCTTACCCCTACTCTATGCAGTCAGATGAATATGAGTTGTTTGTTCTGGCAGAGGGACAGACAGTCTGTTTTTCTCTACATGTATACAACTAATTTCAAGTCACTAGTGTTCTAGCTGGTGATAAAAGAGCTATCTTAAGCTTTTCGCAGAACACAGTGACACTGTTAAATCAGCACAGCATTTTGATTAGCAGAAAGATGAGAGTTTTACAGTTTAATGATAAAAAAGGGCAAAATCCCTTCTGTACTTAAAACTCCAGTTTCAAAGCAAATAGGCGGCCATATTTTTCCATAAGTTACAAATTTTCACCTTACTACTGATTCAAGGCTATTCAGTGTCAGCAATAGCCTGCGCTATTTGATAAAGAAGAAAAATTGTTTTCATGCCTTGTTGCTCATCTGGTTAGACCTTCTCCTGCGGATGCGTAACAGGCAGCTGTGGGGTCACAGCCCGTGGGCTTGGGGACTTGAAGGATGCACAGGCTCTGATAGCTCTTCCTTCAGGAGCTTCGAGGCTCACCCTTGGGTGCATGTTCCCTTTCTAGCACTCTTGTCCTTGAAAGCAGGGGCCAGTGGTTTGGCTGCTCTGTCCTTAGAGAGAGTATGGACCCCTCAGGTTCTTCTGCAGCTTACACATCCCCTTGCAGGTACATGTCACTTATCGCATCCTTCCAAAGGTAGCAGTCCTTATATTGCCAGGAAGGTTGGGTTCTCCTTGGCCTTCTCCAAGAGCATTTTCTCAGTTTTGTGACAGAAGTGAGCCCAGGACCCTTTCCTGAAATTTCCGTTTTGGTTTTTAAGTGATCTTTAGATCAGCTGTGACCACATGTCCTTTGGCAGGGTACTCTCAGTAGCTGCCATTGGAGGCTGATCCTAAGCCTAAATGCCTTCTAATGCTTAAAACTTCCTGGTAACTTCAGACTAAATTTATATTTAATGCATTTATGCCCATTTGTTCAAGGGCCAAGATGGTCCTTCAACTGAAATAGGTTTTCTCCCTTCTGAGGTTTAAATCTTTACTGTGTTTGTCAAGCGCAGTCTCTTAACATCAGAGATACCAATAGGGGAGAAATATATTTACTAGCTGACATCTTAGTGAAAGTGGTTGCGGCACTTTGGAATTCATCATTTGCAGATGCTGTGACCCCACAGTGGTGTTTCTAGGATTGCGTTACAATGCCAAATGGCCTTAGGCTGCACATGGTGGCATCCCATCACAGTGCAATCTGGGAGGAATCACTATGCAGCTGACAAAATTCAGAAGTGATGCAGATATGGGCATGTCAGACTCCTTACATTAATTCAGACGTCCTTGCATTTAGACTGCTTCATATGCTTATTCTCCTGATACTGGGCTGTCCTAGTGAGAATGACACACAGAGGAGCTTGGGAGATGCTTAAATTACAGTTGACCCCACTCTAACCTATGACTTTCTCTGAACCGAAGAATTTGGTCCGGTACCTCCTCAGAGAGAAAATCTCAGGGGATCTCAGCTTGACAGGTTGGCTGAGTTAAATGTGATTACCCGTGCTGCTTGTGCCAAGCAGTAATGTTCACAACCAGCCACTCCTGTTCATACCCATACAGTGTTCTGGGTGTATTTAATGGACCATGCAATAACTTAAAAATCACATGAGGGGGTGGGAAGGTACGGGATACTTAAAATCAGAAAAAGAAATACAGTGACCTTGTTCTTGTGCAAAAAGCAAGCAGAAATGAATGATGGCTTATGCTAACAAAACCCAAGTTTGTACTTCCAGAAACTGCCACTGAATATCTGTACGGCATGGTCTGTCTGTAACAAGCAGAGTACATTCTGCACCGTTACTGGGGTTTGACTAAGACCAGTGACTCCAGTGAGATGACAGAAGTAGTGCTAAGCTTAGTTTAACACAATCTGCAGAAGCAGCTCTGCACAGTTGCTATAACACTATGTTAAACTAGGCTAAACTCTGAATACTGCTATAGTCACTGCTTTTGGAACGACTCTGGATTCAGTCTGTCAGAATGTTCCTCTCCTTTACAAAATACATGATCTCATTTAAAATCATCTAGTTTCCTGAAAGCTACTCAATGTGGGGAAAAAAGGCTGACACAGTTCCCTCTTGCCTGCTGATGTAGTAAACTTACTGATTGCTTATCTGCAGTAACACCAACCACAATTTTTTTTTATTTTTGAAAACGTGTTTATGAACACCTTCTTGGTTCATACTGTCTTCTCAAATATGGGCATTTATATGTATTGCTTCTTAGGAAAGATCAGTTTCTGAAAGGCTATTTTTTTTTAACTTTTATTATTGTTATTATTTTTTAAAGTCTTCAGTGTGACTTCTTCAAGTGGAAAACCCTCCACCCCCACCAGCCCCCTCCCCAGCACCCAAACATTTCCCCTTGTATCACTTCACCTGTTGGGATACTAGTGAATTTTTGTGTTTGAAAGTATCCTGGACAGGATTCCCCAAAGCAAAGTACTCTCCTAAACACAGCTGTAAAATGTCTGGCTGATCAGTGGACCTCAACTGTTGAGGATTCAGTAGATAATTATTTCTCTCTGAATCAACACCCCAACAAGATTTGAGGAAGGAGAGACTGTTATCAGTGAGATATAAAAGGAGATCTGGGAACTATCACAACACTTCATTGTTTTTCAACAAAATGTTTCACTTTCTTAGTTTGGAACAGCTTTTTTTGAAAAGTGAGCTGTGTTTTCAAAAAGAAAAAAAAAAAAAAGGGTGGGTAGGTTTAGGGTCAAGTGAAATATTCCAGGTTTATCTGAAATCATGTTTCTAAAGAAATTTGGAAAAACTGTTTCCTTGTCTTGGGGAACCAATTTCTTCTCCCTGTCCTGACGTGTGAAAGCTCTAGTGGAGATTACTTTGACATAATCTCAACGTGTGTCCTGCAGAAGGAAAAGTGCTCGTCCTGGAGTTTTTGGCTGAAGTCCAGCACAGAAAACTGAAGTTCATCTTCCCAAATCCTCTCTGTAACTCTGCTTGGATAAAGTCTTCTTCCACTCCCTGTACAAACTGTTTTGCTGCTATTTTAATAGCTTCAGAGCTCTACCACTAGCATCCATCTTAAATGATGAGCAAAGTGACCCTTTCAGTCTCACGCCTAATTCGCACTGACTGTTCTGCCATTAGTTAGCTAATGATTTGTGAAATATTTTGTGATATACCTTGTGGTCTTCAGCTGAACAGTCCTCTGTAAGTGTCTAATGTTAGTAGTGACGATACATAGCAAGTCACCATTGCATTTCCCCATGCATTTCTTTCATTTAAGCATGTCAGAAACTTCTGCTGCGTGTTGAAACTTTTAGGTTTTGGCAGCATTATTGCAAGCATACAAGCAGAGCTTTCTCTTGCAGACTTTCCTCCTGCCAGCAGTTCCCGTTCACACCAACAATCTCATCAGCTGCACGCAGGCTAAATTTTGCAACATACCACAGTGTACCCTGCGATCTTGATTTTTTTTTTTTTTAAATTATTTTTTTCCGCATCCACTCAGAGTGCAGCTGAGCTTCTGCCCAGGGTTATGGGGAAACCAGGGGTGGAAGAGGCTTGTGTGCATGTAGTTTTTGTGCCAGTGCAGCCCTGGGACCTGACCAGGGCTCACCCCGTGCCTGAGAACGAGTAAGTCCTCCTACACGCATTAGTCTAACTGCAACTAGGACGTAATTGGGATTATTCATGTTATGCCAACTGGGAGGATTGGAGCTCTGCTGTGTGCAAGATCATATACACAAAGCCAACGCAAAGCTCCTACTGATTTTGGAAAAGCCTGGATATAAGATGATATCCTTACTACTGAGAGCTGGAATGAAAGAGATATAGAGAAACCATTAGAAATCCACGAGCAGCGGAGTACCTTGCAGCTTCAGAGTATCTCTCTAAACACCTAAACACAGCAGCTTGGCGCAGGTGGTTCCGGAAATAAGCTGGGTTCAGAATAATGCTCCTTTAAAAGATAAGAGAGATGGACAAGTTTAGACTTCTAATTCTTAAATCATTAAAAGCTACTAATAATCAAACTGTGATTAAGACACATACCGTATAGACTTATTCTATACAACTCAACACTGTATGTCTCAAATGTAATACGAACTATCACTTTCTCTCTCTTGACAGCTGTGATATATGAACAAGAATTATTAAAATTTTTATTAAGGTTATGTCATAAATACAGTTTCATTAGGGTTTTGTGTATTGTTCTAAAAGAAAGTTCCTGTGGTAATATGCTATATTGCCTTTAGCTTGTAGATAACATAAGCAAAAATGCTACGGTACAACTTCTTGTTAACCCCTACCTCCACAAACATGAGTGGCAGTTGTCTGACCTGTCTACCTGGAAAAACTGTGCAGTCAGAATGTATTTTAATGTTAGCTTGGAAGATTTTAAAATACTTTCTGTACAAGTGATAGGTTCTATGTGGGTGGACCTTGGCATGTTTCTTAGACCATTAACTTTAACAGATGCAATTCCAGGTGTAACAAATTACAGCCTTTAAGTCAATATCAGAAGAAGATTGAAGGGTAAAAATAGCATAAACTAAGCAGTTAGATTGGCAGGCAGAGTATCCTTCTGATGTGAGCAGGGGGAGGGCAAGAGTGACAGCTCCTTCTACACCCAATTAGTTCCACTTGTGAGATCTCCAGCAAGTGAGTGGCTTCTCTGGTCAGCACTTCTCCCAGGGTTTGGAGAAAAGGTACATATAAGCGTATTCTAGGTTGCAAAGTTTTATAAAACATGCATGTAATGACAAATATTAAGTATTTAATAGTAGTTTAGCACATCAACAAAGAGATTAACGCTAGATTCTGCTACAAACTGGCTTTTGTTTCCTCACTGATAGTTTTGGATATCATGATAGCATTAAATACTACTGCTCTTGTGATTTCAGTCTACTAATAACCACAGAACTAATCCTCTTCATAACCAAATCATTTAGTAAAGTTTATTCATTGTCTTGAAACGGACATAAATATATACGTAAACACGCTCAGCTATAAATTCACATTTATGGAAACACCCAGTGCATTTTAGAAGATCAGTAACTGTCTCTTCTATATGTTTTCAGCACATGTCTGGGGCCTTCAGAAAGACCTTTCAGAATAAGTTAAAACCTAAGCGTCTCCAAGATGCTGTAGACTTGTGAGTCAAATTCACTCTGCAGGCACTTTTTCCAAGGCATACAGAAGAAGGCCTAAAGCTCTGAATGGTTACATCTACATTTGCAAGTAAATAGATATATTAGGAGTGGATCAGCAGATGAGAGGAGCTAATGTTGAGGCCCTTAAATCTATATTGTAGGCCGTTGGGGCTTTTATTTCAGACTAAACTTAGCCTGTTCCCTTAAACAAAATGTCTCCATACTTGTTGCTCAAAGCTGTCTTGAAGGTCAGCTGTTGGTTTGGATTCCTGTGTCTTCATTAAGTGCTACTTGTATTTTGTGCACCGCTCACGTGGAACATGCAGGTAGCTTTCTCTAGAATTAATCTAGTTTGTGAGTGCTAACATTGGTTGGTGAACCATCTAGCGTGCAGAAAATGGAGGAAATTGGGTAAAGTGCATCACAATCCTACTATTATGCCAAACCAAAATGTTAAGTTAGGTGTAACCAGAGACGTTTCTGTTCTTCTGGCACAGGAAAGCTTTGCTCTGTATTAGCAGAGCTGCTCTCTGCTCTGGAGATGCAGCTCCACTGAAGACCATCCTAAGGTGGTATAGGAACTAGGAACCATCTCAGAACTGGCGTTTCCCAGTCCAACATTTGAAAAAACACTCAGAAAACTGTATTGAGACAAAGCATTATCCTGCAGGAACGATCTCTCTGGGAAGAAGGTGTGTGGGGGAAAACCAGTGACAAATGATATCACGTAACTTAAGGCATTACTGGAGAAGGTGCAGACCTTAGTGACTGGGGGCACATCTAAATATGGAACTAAAATCCAATGTACAAAACAGCACTGGATGTTAACATTTAGTTGCTCTTAACGGGGGGAACGAATCAGTCTTATCAGTAAAAAAAAAAAGTAATGCCAACAGCAAACACTGCAGTTCTCAGCCAAACATGGTTCAGATCTAAGTTTAGACAATACTGATGGTCACCAAAACTTAATTTAACCAAAACAAAATCATCAAAAGATCAAACACTATCAGCATTTAATGATTTGACCAAAACAGTAATACCTTACATAGATGACAACTGGTACTTCTGCAAGCTATTTTAAAGGAGATTATTGCTGCTGTAAACTGTAGTCAACAGTTGATAATAGTGATATTGATTTTTTTCTTTTTTTTTTCTTTTTTTTTTTCCCCTCTCCAAGTTATCGGTTCTACCACAGCCAAGAAATAGCACTATGAGGGGAAAAAATTAAAAAATCAATAATTCCCTGGTAGTTAGCAACATATTTTCTGTAAGTCTTTGAGCAGGATGTGCTGTGCTAGGCTTATAATAAATATAGAACTGTAGCAGATTTTCAAAGAATTAGATATCAGCTCTCCACTTTCCATCTTGATTTTTTTACTAGTCTCAAAAAGATCAACTGCTTCTCTTGATCTATAAATTCTATATTGAAAAATATTATAGTACGCCCTAATAGCTTGAGCAAACATCAGAAAGCTACCTTTGACTCCTGGCAGTTTGGTTTGATGCTGCTAGGCTCTCTGTAGCCTAAACACTAGAAATAATTTCTGCTATATTACTATTCTACCCAAAAGTAGCCCTTTGCTGTACTGGTGCAGCTCCAGTTGAGTAGCCTTTATGCAGAGCAGTGCTAATTTAATGCCAGGTGTGCACTAAAACTGTGCAGAGCTATCCCTTTGGCTTTTAAATCTGACTCTGATGTATTTCAGGTGGTTTTGGTGAAAAGGAAAAAAACGGAATGAAAATAGGAAGCAAAGGAATCATACAAAGGTTAAGAGGAAAACCCCAATTTCAGGAAGTTCTCCTTCAAATAAGAGCAGATGGGGGACCCATCTGGCCAGGCAGAAATGTGCCAGGCTGCGCGTACCGAGAACAAGTCCATGCTCCAAGATCCACCTCCAGCCATGAGCAGTCTTGACACTAGGCTGGTTAATCCAGTAATTAATTAGAAGGGATGTGTTTCAAAAGGGAGGCTTGAAAGAAGAATTAGGAAGGGAAGAAGGTGGTGGACACACCGGCTGCAACACCGTCAGGATGATCTCTGTATGTGGTGATTTGTGCCATGAGCAGAAGCATCAGTCCTTCGGTCTCTTCACTCACGTGCCTCTCATGGGAGCTTCAGGTGGAAAAAGTAGTTTCGACAGGAAACGTCTGAAAATGGATAGCTCTTATTTTGCACAGAGAAAACTTCTAATCCGCAAACTGCAAATAAAGTCACTACAGCTGAAGATTAAAACTTGTGTTCTTGCCAGGTTTTGCCCCCATCTGTCAAATGACTAGGCTAAAGTAAACTTGAAATAGATTTTCATTTATTTTTCATCTTCACTGTAATCCAAAGACTGCCCTGTTAAAAGCCTTTCGTAAATCATTTGGTCAGTTTTTCTCAACAAAACAGTCCTTAAGTAATGCCGTATATCAGCCTCTTTTTTGACATTTTCATTTTTTCATCTTGACATCTTCTCTTAAAAATAATACAGTGTTTGTCCTATTATCTTTCTTCAAAACTGTGAGGAGGGGGGAAGAAGGCATCAACTCTCTTCCCATCATAGCAATTGGAGTATGCGAATTGAAGATGCACATGTTAGTCTGTGGTTTTCTCTCCAAGTTTTTCTTTCAATCTTACTGCCTGGTGTTAAGACAAGAGGTGTGGCAAGAAACTCTGATCGCTACATCAAAACTGGCTGCTAGAAATCGCATTGCCTTTTCTCTAAGGTGCACATTCTCTATTGAATTCCTTCCCAAATGCAACGGGGATTTAACTCTAATCTGACTGACATGAAAAAGTGCCTCTGCTACTATCCACCACATCATTCGTGTTTGGCCTTTATAGGCCAAGAAAAAGTCAATGAGATGATTCTATAGATGAAACAAGTGAAAAAATACACTTCACCACTAAAGCAGATAAACTCATTTTTCTTGCTAGTACTGTGAGTAAAAGCTAGCTTGTTCATAGAGGTGCATGCAGTTATTTCTTTGATTAGAGTGGCAGAAGCTTTTTCTTTTTCTTAGTTATCCATGCCTTCCTACGATACAGTGTGGTCTTCTGTACAAATGCATTTTTATAGTCAATTATATTTGACTATTAGAGAGGGATTAGGTGATTTACCAGAAGGAAAAATTCAGTGCTAAAGCCATATGTGCCTCTATGCAGAGAGATGTAAAGCTAGCACGGGTCGGTATGGCAGTGCGCTGTGCTGGCACGTCCACGTGTCGCTGGTACGGAGTGATTGTACAAATGTAGTCGCTGAGGCGTTCTTCACCAGAACATTAAATACAATGTCAGTGCAAGTAATGTGTCAACTAGTGTTCAGCAGAACCACGTATTCAGTTGCTGTAGACTAATACAATGCTTTTATCTTCAGTGAATACCTTCAATCAGTACAGCTGGTGATCCAGCCCCAGTATACTTACAGATGAACCTGACAAATCCTGTACAATTACATTGAACCTCAACTTTCTTCTTTTTCCTTGTTTCATCTATATGGCAGGTAGCTTATTATCTGCAGTGTAGTACTAGTCTTACATCTGTTTGAGTCTGCTGTGCTCCGTTCTGTGATCCCAAGGGCTGGTTTAAGAGTTCAACTCTATTAGAGGCAGTCAAATTCCTGAACCCTATGGTAGCCAGGAATCAACTTCATCATATTTTCCTGCAATTTGCATGTGCAGCTATGTTATGATTTTATTTTAAGTTTTATTTGGGGACCTCACGACGCTATGTTTGCTTGCAGCTAACTTCGTATTCTAAACCATTCCTCCTCCCGGTGCTGTTGTAGGGAACTGAGAGGGATGTGTCTTGGGTATACAAAAGCTT